TGCATGAATGACAGCTAGCGGAAGTGAGAGAATAGTGTTTATAATGTTGTATATATGGATATTGTTTCTTACAAAAACACATCAATTCGCAACAGGAAGCCCTAATTCACTCCCCGGAGCTGTGTGTGACACTGTTTATTATGGATGGATGCGCTTTATTTAACTTCTTTTGGACTGTTAAAAAAACACCCACCCACTGCCATTATAAAGCTTGGAAGAGCCAGGACAAGTTTTAATATAACTCCGATTGGATTCGTCTGAAAGAAGAAAGTCATATACACCTAGGACCTAATTTTCATTTTTGGGTGAACTAACCCTTTAACATATAATAATTTTAACTATAATTTTATAAATATATAATTTATTATTAAATATATTTATATAATTTATTATTAAATACATGTATTTAATATATAATTTATTATTTTATTAATATTTATTATCATAATATTATTAATAATATTAAAACAGTTATTATAAGTATTCTTCTACATGATATATAATGTTTAATATTAATTGATAATATTAATAATTAATACTTAAATGCATAATAAAAAAAAAAAATCACAATATTTTGTGCAGGGAATCATATGATTTGACTAATCTTTTTTTGAACCATATGAATTGCCTGAACAAACGGATTCACTAAAATGAACTTGACTTCCTAATGCTTCATATGAGAGGGGAAATATTTTAAGGGAAATTGTAATTCGATTATTGCCTATTGCTGCATGTGCAATAGAGTGTGAAACAAAAACCAGTAATGTAGCGTTTTGTTGCAGTATGCACTAAATAAAGTAGTTTGGAACATTTCATGTGGGTGTCATGGGTCTCGTAAATCAGCCATTATAATCATGTCGATGACTCTTCAGTTCTTATGAGGCATTTATTTACACAGTTATGCATATTTGAACAGACTGAATTAAAATAAGTGGAATATTCATCAAACAACAGCTCTCGAGTCAAACTGTCGTCATCTCACGTCTCGGATAGGTTTGAGTTTTGAATATGGCATGCATGTAAAGCTGTAGAGCTCGACTGGTGCTCTCAAGCACACATGAGCATACTGTACACACACACACACACGCATACACACACAGAGCACAATTCCCCCTCGCTCACAGGCAGGGGAAACGGGAGTTTCTAAATCACAATCCGAAGTCCTCCACGTGGAGAAATCTCTCAAGAGCGTTTCATGGAAGACAAAATACAACAGAGGTAAATAAAACACTTTTCTTGAATCGTAACAGTCCGCTTTTTTGAAGTCAACTTGCCCTTAAAGGACTTTCCATTCTTTGAAAATGTCCTCTTCTCTTTCTGAAAGTTTCAGTTTGAGTCCATCCTGGCTAGTTTGAAACTTTCATGTGTTCCACTCCTCTCTTCCTTTCTTCAATATGAAGAAAAGATCAGAAGAAGCAAGTCTTTGAGGGAAAAAGAGCGGCAAAATATCCTCAAGCCAACATCAAACAGCCCGGGCTTACATTTAATACATTTTTAAAACATTATTACAGTTAGCTTATAATTCTCGAGTCCGTCTCATCGTTTGTGGCCTCGGCAAATGAGAGGAAGAATGGAAGGGATTGGAGTTATGGAAGAGAGTGATCGCTTTTTGCCATTAGAGAAACACATGCACACATGCAAACTAAACCTGAGAAGTAGAAACGTCGTCAATTTAATCCATGTAATCAAAATTCAGTGTAAACACGAGAAAGTCATGACAAAAGGGAGGGAAAGAACAAAGACGATTGCCTGAGGCACCATCATACAGAATTCCAATTAACATGTGCTGTGTTTTCCCAGCACTCCCCAGGTGCCCCATACACAGGCTGCCCGTCAGGCCCATACAGTTTTCTATTGGACACGCCGTAGTTTTCCACAGGCTCCTTGGGAGGGGTGCGACACTGTCCCAAATTGTATACAGTGGCTCTTCAGGCTCTTCAAGCAATAGTCGGCTCCAGTAATTTTCCATTGGTTTTGTATGGATTGTCCCAACTCTTCAAACTCTTCAAATGGGAATCTGCTGCTAGCCTGGAGGCTCAGCAGGTGTTTTTTTTAATCAGTCAAACCCGTATGGGCAGAGTTTGACTCATTTGTTGTTTCATGTCTTGTGCATCTCCTATACTCTTCCTTTGATGGCCCGGCAGGGTCCCGCCAACTCGACAGAGATCACTATAGAGAGAGAAATACAAAATACAAAAATCAGCATTTGCCGGAAACACTGACATATGACAGCACTGAAGATTTTCATTTTAAGGCATAGTTATTTCATGTCAAAAAGGCTTTCAAATTGGTCACATACCTCAACAAAAGTTTAATTATAACCTATCCATCTGTCCATGCATCTATCTATCTATCTATCTATCTATCTATCTATCTATCTATCTATCTATCTATCTATCTATCTATCCACTGTCTATATAATAATCTCTCCATCCATCCATCCATCCATCCATCACCTATATATGCATCCATCTGTCCATCCATCTATCCATCCCTCTATATAATTATCTCTCCATCCATCCGTCCGTCCGTCCGTCCGTCCGTCTGTCTGTCTATCTATCTATCCACTGTCTATATAATAATCTCTCCATCCATCCATCCATCCATCCATCACCTATATATGCATCCATCTGTCCATCCATCTATCCATCCCTTATCTGTCTGTCTGTCTGTCTGTCTGTCTGTCTGTCTATCTATCTATCTATCTATCTATCTATCCACTATCGATCTATCTATCTATCCACTATCGATCTATCGATCTATCGATCTGTCTGTCTGTCCGTCTGTCTGTCTATCTATCTATCCACTGTCTATATAATAATCTCTCCATCCATCCATCCATCCATCCATCACCTATATATGCATCCATCTATCCATCCATCTATCCATCCCTCTATATAATTATCTCTCCATCCATACATCCATCCATCTGTCTATCCATCCATCCATCACCTATATATGCATCCATCTATCCATCCCTCTATATAATTATCTCTCCATCCATCCGTCCGTCCGTCCGTCCGTCCGTCTGTCTGTCTATCTATCTATCCACTGTCTATATAATAATCTCTCCATCCATCCATCCATCCATCCATCCATCACCTATATATGCATCCATCTATCCATCCATCTATCCATCCCTCTATATAATTATCTCTCCATCCATCCGTCCGTCCGTCCGTCCGTCCGTCTGTCTGTCTATCTATCTATCCACTGTCTATATAATATCTATCTATCTATCTATCTATCTATCTATCTATCTATCTATCTATCTATCTATCTATCTATCCAAGTTTGTCTTGACTTTACTTTTAAATTAATTTAATTTAAAATACCATAAAATTCTAATTTAAATAACATCAAATTCAAATTTCAATTCTGTTTGCTTCTTCATTTTAATTTAGAAACTGAATTGGAGCAATTCTCAATTCAATTCTGGATGACACAACTTCTGGGTGCTGAAAGAGCTCTGTAAAGATTCTTTAAAAATTCCTAATTTTGATTTACAGTGAAAAATAACAGCACATAGGTTTGGAACAACATGAGAGAGAATGACGACGGCGTTTTCATTTTGGGGTAAACTATTCCTTCAATTTCCAATAAAAAAAGGCCAAATGTGTTCACTCTCATTCAAATGAGAACAGTAATCACGCACTCAGACACACAGCTGTCTCTGGAGATTGGATCATGGCATGTCAACAGCCTGGCCAGGGATGCTCGAGCATACAGATGCAAACATGAATCATACACAGGCCATCAGCATGCAGCGTCACGTGGAGGCATGACACACCCGCATGCGTACCTATACACACTCGACCGTTAGGCATGGGGCTCCACTGCCAGCACATTAAAAAGCTCATTAGCCGACTAATTAAAGTCATTGCTCTCTTTTAGCATCTCCTCCATCTCCCTTATTAAGCTCTCTCCGCCACCTCCACTAGCCCTAGTCTGAACCGAACCAGCTTCCCCAGCGAGCAGACACAGCAGCCAGTGAAGAGGAAAGGGCACTGCACTGTGTGTAAGTCAGCCGTTACTCCGTTCCCAAGACAGTGCAGTTCAAATCGCTCCAGGCGAGAGCAGCGCGTTTACAAACGCAAGTGAAATGAGCGTGCTTATTTTGACTAAGTCAGACTCAGCAGTGTTATGGATTGCATTTATTTGCTGGATAATTTATGTGGTTGAAACTGCTTATCATGAGGAGTTGGGTGGGGGAAAAGCCCTACACGGTAAACAATGATTTGCATAGTGAGCCGCGGGGAGGGGTAAGCTTATCGTGATAGGTATTTTGCTGCACATGTTCAGTTTAAAAATTCAGCTTGTGCTTTCCCCGTAGGAAAGATAGATCTCTTTTTAATATCTCCATTGTTTCTCCTAGATTGCAATGAGATGGAATAAAGAGCAAAGTCTCCTGTTTCTCAGATGTTTCTCCCTAGTAATCTCACATCCCTTTACATAGAGATCTCAGTAATGTCACAAACTGTGCTTTTCATTTTTAACTCTATATCCTCACAATATGCCACAGTTTCTGCTAGTAAAACTAAGGTAATTGTAACTTTATATTTCACAATTGCAATTTTATTTAGAGCAACAGTATTTTAAATCTCAAAATGTGACTTTCTTGTCAATGAAATCTTATATTGCACAAAAATAGCTTTCAATTAAAATCTCACAATGTGATTTTTTTTCCCAATGTGACTCTTGCAACTGGGATTTTGTTTCTCATAATTACGACTTTATATCCCGCAATGTTACATACACAGTTGTGTCTATGATTCTTGTAACAGTCATTTTAAATCTCTCAATCCAACTGTCTTGCAACTGTGACTTTTTGAAATTGCAACTTTGTTTCTCATTATTGTTTCTCATAAAATGTCGTGCCATTTTACACTAATTTTTTCAACTTTATACTGCACAAAGTAACTATATCTCACAGTTATGACCTGTAATTGTCATTTTAAATCTCACAATGTGACTTTGTCTTGCAACTGAGTTTGTTTCATGTAATTCACTTTACATCCCACAATGCGATCTCAACTGTGAATTGATTTATTTTAATTTAAACACTATATTGCGCAAAGTGAATGTCAATTGCAACTTGTTATTGTTTCTTGTAATTGCGACTTTATGTCTCATAATGTGACTTTATCGCAGTTGCAACTTTATTTCTTGTATTTTCCACTTTATACTTTGCAAAGTGACTCCATCTTGCAATTGCAACTTTATTTCTGACAAATTAGGCTTATATCTCACAGTGTGGCTTTATATATCACACAGTGTGTCCCATGTGCTGACGAAGGTAAAATAAAATGTACTAGCAGATTTTAAAAGGTTTGAGTGCGAATCTTTGGTTCATATGTGAACTAATTAAATTGATTGACACACCAAAAACATAAAATGCAAGAGTGCTGTGTAAACGGCTGTGAGACAATTAAATTTTTTTTTAAACTCAGAAACAGGCTTTCATACATCTGAGACAAGTTGATACTTAAATTACATATAACTCAAAACTATGTTTCCTGAGTCATGAAAAAGCAACCTCTTCTGAGTCATGAAAAAGCAATACAATCTTCTTCTCTGCTGAAAAAATGTATAATAGGATCTACATTTAAAATATCACAAAGTCGATATGAAAAATTTCCGTGCATAGCAGTAAAAGTAGCAGTAACAGCATACTATTTGCCATATACTCTGTCAATTTTGATTTCATAAACTATATTTCGGAAGGAAGATCCATCTTTTCCTGTAAGTCAAAGCCATAATTGACCCGTGTCTAATCTGGCCTGTTTTCTGCTCACCCTGAGTGTGTGCTGGTAAGCACTTTGAGGCTTGTGGCGTTGCGGAGGACCTTGTCAAGTGTGCTGACGATCTGTCCAAAGCGCGGCCTCATATTCCGCTCCTTCACCCAGCACTCCAGCATGAGCTGGTGCAGCACTGCGGGGCAGTCCATGGGAGGAGGCAGCCTGTAGTCCTGCTCCACTGCGTTCATTACCTACAGCATCAACAGACAGAGCAATTACACTGTCCTTTTGCATTAGGACAAACTCAGCAGTATGCAGAGTTTTATCAGGCATACAGTATATGACCGAAACGTTACAATCGTTAAACCATAATAAAGACTAATAGACTTAAAAAAAGAGCATCTCAGAATAAAACACATAGCATTGTGCTTGCAGTATAGACAAAACAGCATAAAGCACTGATCCGAGATAATAAATTAATAAATAGTATTACTAAAATAGTATAATAAATGGTATTACTAAAATAAATAGTATTAAATGTGAAAGGATGGATGTCATGAAATCTGTCAGGAATATGTCTGGGTCAAATTTCACACACATACACACACACACACACACACACATTCTGTGTGATTTATTAGCTTGTTTACCTGTGGGGACCTCAATTTAGGTCCCCACCGTGACACGAGTCCCCATGAGTCTGTGTGTATTCAGGTTTAAGTCCCCACCAGAATAGTACACACACACACACACACACACACACTATTTTTATACAAACCCATTTTCAAATATTCAAAATGTGAAGAATTTAGTATTTAGCATAGTTGTAGTGCATCTTGTATTACCATTTATTTAATAAAATAAAAGATAGTACAACACATAAAATAAAAAAAGTCATTATACAGTGATTTTTATTAAAATGCTGATTGATTTAAATCAGCATACATCTGAGAATAACCATGGAGAATTATTAATTCTTATTTCCTTCCTTTTTAATGAATAAAATGGCCCTGTGTGGCCAAAGTTGTGCTTTTTATTGTTAATAAATACAATAAAAGTATGAATAATTGATATTAATACAAATAAGAATTAATATTTTCACTATACTAATATTGAATTAATACAATTATATATGAATACAATTAATTTATGATATAAATATATAATAAATGCATGCAAAAATGTAATTCTCATTGCTGTATTGCAAACAATTAATATATCATTTAAATATGAAATAGTAAGTGTTTAGTATAGTTGTAGTATTTGTTTAATTACCTTTTATTTAAGCTGATTAAAAATAATACAAAAATGAATAAAAATGCTATTACAGTATTTTTTTCTGTTGTTAATACTGTAACACAAGTATAACAGAATAAAAAAAAAATTAATTCTGCATAAATATGAAAAAACCATTGAGAATTATGGGAATTACAACAAATTAAAAAGTAAAACAACCAGATATATGAAAACACAGAATTTAAGGGTAAATGTCACTAATTGTCATGAAAATAGTCCCAATTTAAAATATTTTAAACATCAACTTTCCTTTTATGCAAAATCCAATTTCTTACTTGTCATTTTGGACTGAAATGTGACCTAAACATGAGATTTCATGAGATTCACTCAAAATGTAACATAAAAAGTTGACTCACATCTTGATTGCTCATGTCCCAGTATGGCCGCTCCCCGAATGACATAACCTCCCACATCACGATCCCGTAGCTCCACACATCACTCGCCGAGGTGAACTTTCTGAAGGCGATGGCCTCGGGGGCGGTCCAGCGGATTGGGATCTTTCCCCCCTACATAATTACACACATACACACAGAGAGGCCATTCAATTCAAACACAGACTTTAAAACCAACGACATGGCTTGAGTCTTCAGCTGCCTAATTAGTGTAAAGACTCGGCCCCTACACAGAGCTTCCTCCCCACGGGGTATCCGTGCTGGGTTCATTAATCTGAGATGAAAACCAGTAAACAAATAAAATGGCAGGAATCTAACTATAAATATAACGGTTTGATCTATCCCTCAAACAGACAACGTGAATGGGAAGACTAATCAATACACTAATCCAAGCAAAGCACGAGCTAAACGAGCATGCTAGTGCTAAATCTTCACTGACTACTAGCATGCCCGGTAAGGACACAAATGTTTACTCAACATTTTTAGCCCAAAGAGTTGATGTAGATGCTAAAAATAAAACGAAAGGATTTATACGGGATTCTAGTCATTCAATTCCCTTATCCGTAGCTTATCATGTCGAACACACTGAACAAGCCATCACATACTGTACTGACTACATCCATATGTTTCCAACAGACAGAGATAGAGACAGGCTTCTTCCACATATCAAGTATGCCATCTGTACTCCTGATTCTGTTGGTCAAGGCTTTTCTTATCAATTCTTAATGCACACTGTATCTGATCAAAGCACAGATATCGCTACATTTCTGTCTGGCACCTGGATTTCGATAAAATGCTCTCTGAAAATTCCCACAAAGCTAATAGACATGGACAATAGACAAAATGAATTCATGAGTTAATAAACTAACAAAAAATACCAAACAGCACCACACTAACATGGTTTTGGAGATGTATCAAGTCCATAAATACCACAGAATATGTAAGGTATCATAGTATTCTTTGAAATACCTTGTACTGTAAAAACCACGGTACTCAATCAATATCATGGTGTAAATCAAAATACCATGGTATTGCCAACCAATATCATTATGATTACCCATTAAAATGTTATAGCACCATCATCTATGCTAACATAAATAGCTAGCATAGTTGTAATAACAGTATTAATAATATAGTAATAATAGTATAATAATATATTAATAATAATAGTTAATAAAATGGACCATGAAAAATGTTTAACTCTTTCTTATTTTATAATTTACATGGCCTGGAGTGGCCAAAGTTATGTCCTTTTTAATGTTTAAATTAATTTTTTAATTTTAAATTACATTATTATTTTTGATATAATTATTTATTTGATTATTTATAAAGAAAAGAACTGTCTGTACTAAGTGTACTGGCTACTAAGTTGTATATTTGTATAGACAAAATACTTAAAGATGATATACAATAATGGCTTAGTGGGGATTGTAGGATTTGTTGGAACAAGGATATTTCATTATTTTTTTGTATTATTATATAAAAAGAGCAAACATGCACGACCTTAACCGAACTCACCAATGAGCTGGTGTAGGTGGGGTCCGATGAGTTATCATCCAGAAAGCGAGAGAGGCCAAAATCGGACACTTTGCACACCAGGTTGCTGTTGACGAGCACATTGCGGGCAGCCAGGTCACGATGGACGTAGTTCATGTCGGACAGATACTTCATGCCAGCTGCGATTCCCCTCAACATACCAACCAGCTGCGTTACAGTAAACCTGCCATCGTTCAGCTGAGCGGGAACAGTACAATAGACATTAACAGATGTAAACACGACACTACACCAGTTCTACTCATTCTAATCAGCCTGACTTTGACAGAGCCGCTGGACTAATTCTACTCGCAGCAGCCCGTAATCTTCTTCAGAGTATCAGGATGCCAAAGCTATGAAGAAGTGTCTCCACAGAACTCCACAAAAGCTAATCCTTATGGACGAATATCCTTTGCAATAGCACTGAATATTTGAAAGCGTAATTCAATTACACACTTCACATAGAATATCAAAGCCACATTTTCATTTTCATATTCTGAATAGGGAAAATCTGAAGCAGTGGTTCTCTGCTGGGTTGCAAGTCTGTTCTGATAGGATCACGGACAGTGGGAATAAAACAATAATAAAATCTAATAATAAAATGCAAATGACCGTATTATCATACATAGTTGAGACAGGAAAATAAATAGGCTTATCAACGTGTCCATTTGCTATCATGTCAGTGGCCGTCCATGAAATAAAACTCCACTGCATTTTGGCACCAATTATAAAACATGACCCATACTACATTAAATGCAGGTTCACATGCAACAAGGACAGTTTGTGCAGTGTTTAACACACACACACACACACACACACACACACATATATACTGTATACTGTACACACACACACACACACACACATAGATATATATATATATATATATATATATGTGTGTGTGTGTGTGTTCAGTATACAGTATATATATATATGTGTGTGTGTGTGTAAACGGTTTCCATAAAATATAAATTAAAACATTTTCAGTAATTTTTCCAATTAACACATTATAATGATTTATGATTGATGACACTGAAGATTTTATTACTTTTAAATTATTAAATTTAATTCAATTACATTTGAAAATATATTAAAATAGAAAGCAGTATTGTTTATCATTTTTAATATTACTGTTTCCACTGTATTTTTGATCAAATAAATGCAACCTTGGAGAGCATAATTGACTTCTTGTGCAAAAAACATTAATCTTCATTCGAGGTTTTATGTCCAATACAATAATGTAATGCTACAGCCCAAGTTCTGGTGGTAAATAAACCTCTAAGGGGAAATTCACAAGTCTAGCGTTCACAAATAGCACATGGTTCAAGCTAAGCCTCCAAGCAAAAGGACATCATCACGTCTGTAGCCATTCTCACTTGGTTTGGCTCCAATGATGATAAACATTCTGGTACAAGATTTTGATGTTGATGCTTTTTTTTTTCTTCTTCTTCTAAAGCTGAAGATGAATCATGCCAAAGTTGGTTCTTATGGATATTTTTAGAAGCGTGTTTGTGTGTATGCGTGGAAATGAGTGCGTTTGTGTCCCTGGCTGGACTGTGAGTACAAGCTGTGCCGTAGGAAGATGTCGGGCGATGAGGGACTGGTTAGGTGGGCTTTAAGTTGTGTCATCTGCTTGGTGGTCAAACAGAGCAAGAACATCCCACCTCTGGATAGCTAAGCTTTCGGTGTTCTGCATTGACTGTCTGCATGGGTTGGTTCTGAAGTGCGACTGTTTATCAACTGTTACTGTAGAAACTGAGGGATTATACAAGGTCGCACAACAATTTCCAGAGATTATTATGGTATTTTTAAGGTTTTGAAATGCTAGTTGTTGACACAAGTTAAAGGTGAAGCAAGGTTCTGTCTAAAGCACCATGAATAACTGCCTAATGCTGAGGGGTTATCGAATTCCCCTGTCAGCGCAAAAGAAGTTCTGGACGAGGGAAGTTTTGCTATCTTAGTTATGTAAAGTAATGTGACATGCTTCATATTGAAACAGAATATTCAGTGAAACTTGAAATTGTCCATCAGGAATTGATTGAACGAGTTATTACATTTTGATCATGAAGCCAAACATTTTTTTAGCAGCAGGCTAAGGAAAGCATAGCCTTTTCAAAAGCTGCATATGTTATTTTTTGAAAACGCTGGGTCTTTTTCTTTCATTCATTTTAATGTATGCACTGCAGCAGTTTTTATTTCAATGGCACTTGACTTAATATGCGATTGATCTATTTTAACACCCCATCTAAACCGCAAGCGAGCAATGCAATACGACTCGACAGTTTCTTTGATTATAATGGGAGTGTTCTAGTTTGTCACATTGTGTTGCTAGCAGTATAGCAGTAGTGCCATTAATAAACGTTTTAATTTTTAACAATGACATAGCTAAAGTGGCATGATGTTTGCACAGCACTGGCCACTAGTGCTTTTCAGCGGAAACTGACACAACTGTTCCCAGTGAAATTTCTCTTATTGAGTCGCTCACAGGAATAATGGCATCATGGACAGGTACAAGGAAAGATTTTAGAGATAAAAGTGATTTTCACAATTGATTCTAAGTATCCAAGAGCTGAATATTTGACAGGATGCATTATGAGATTGACTGAGATGCAGGTGCGTCATTAATCCTTTTAGTATGTTCCTAAACACTTTTTTGAGAAACACTTGTAAACCTAGGATTTTTTTTTTTTTTCTTGAAATTGTGTATTTCTCATTTAGGGTCATGAACATGCCTTCAAAGTTTCAACACTCTGAGGTGTTGTGGAACATGCATACAACATTTCTATTATGATTGTCACGTTAACGGGTCAGTTTGGCCCACAGATTTCATGGTTAAGGCAGGTGCACAGAAAAAAAAGTATAAACAAAAAAGTTATTACGTTTCTCAACTACTAGTTCTCAACTATCAGTTCATGCATGTGAACTTTGCCGAGAATCAATCTTGGCATTGCTAGTGCTATCCTCTACTGTTTTAGCTTCAGGAAAGCACACAAATAAATACATTTTAAATCAAATAAAATATTTAAAATACTGTTAATATTCACATAAAAAGACAAATACATTTTTTTAAAATACAGTTGTTAAATACAGTTTAAAAATCATGTATTCTCAATTCTTATGTTTACTTGTTTGAGAACTGTTAATGTTAAAGATTTACTGTTTTTACCAGATTTTTTGTTTGTTTCATTTTTCATAGTGTGATTTTTTTGTGAATTGTATTGAATCTAGTTACATAACAAACATAATGATCATACCCAGAAATGTAACATAAATAGTTAACATACCATAACATAATTTAGTAACATAATTTTAACATAACAGTTGTGGCCTAATGGTTAAACAGTTGGAATTATAACCCAAAGGTTGTGGGTTTGAGTCTCAGCACCGGCAGCAATTGTGAGTGACCAGCGCTCTCTGTAAAAAAACCGAACCCTACCATGCTCCACCCACGGTTCGGTACGCACTTGCACTGTGGTTCACCTTAAATCTGACAATGCATCTGTAATATGGTTTGTTAAAAATAACAATGCGTAAAAGAGACAGAGTTCAGCTAATGTATGCTTCTGTCAACGGATACGCATTCTGGCTTCCCAAAACATTACAATAACAGCAATTAAAAAACTAAACTAAACAACAACACATGGACAAACCAATCACTCTTTGTAAACTTTGTTTAATGCGAGTGTCGTATGCTGGAATATGACCAGTCATTTATGCCGTCATCACCCGGGTGTTGATAGTGCGATTGAGCACTTTGCTGTTCATTTAAGCATTGCCTAGCCAGAAGTCGTGAATGAGAACTCGTGCGCGCAGTGAGAAGATTTGTGTGTGCGCTCATCCGAAGTGTGCAAACCCGCGTTTCATCCAGCATGCAAATGTTGAATTCACTTTTAAGTCTTGTGCTTGAACGGACAAATTCACACAAAAATGATGTCAACATGCCCGTCTTGGTGATTATCATAACAGACAGTCGTCTGAACGTACATTATGAGTGTACTGGATCTGTGCATTGTCTTAAAGTGACAGTAGGTAAAAAAACTTGCTGTCTGTGTTTTTAATGTTAATCAAACAACAAAAGACAAGGAAATCACTCACTGCTCTTGACTGAATAACTTTTGTAACTTCAATAAGGATTAATCATAAATTTATACAGTCAAATATGCAATGCTATTTTACATTTGATTACTTCTGTACCAAAAAACTAATATTAGACCTACCTAAAAAACCTGAAAAGCAGTTTCTTTTATTTGCATCTTTGCTCTGTTGTATTTATTTGTGCTGTTGCTTGTAGTTAGATTATTTGTTTGATTATTTGATTATTTTTATTTGCCAGTATAGTCCTTTTTTCCCTAAAATAGCACATACCGATCCGTACCAAAACCATGACTCTAAAACCATGATACAAACTGAACCGTGAGTAATTTGAACCGTTACACCCCTAGTGTTCATGGTGTGTGTGTGTTCCCTACTCACTACTGTGTGTGCACTTGGATGGGAAAAATGCAGAGCACAAATTCCGAGTATGGGACACCATACTTGGCCACATGTCACTTTCACGTTTTACATGGTTTAAAACAAGCTTTAAAGTTTCTTTTTTTATGATCAACTTGTTTGCTTAGATGGCTTCTTTTATTAATATATTTATATTTCATAGTTTTTATTTTATTTACTGTTCTTGTTACTATTACCAGTTTAGTATGCATGTGTTGTAAAGGCCTCTAGTGAATGAAATGAATATATTCCATACGTTTGCTTGTGTTTTTATCCCAGTTTGAGTTATTAAAGCAGTATAAATTTAATTGTGGACTTTATTAGCTTCAGCTTCATGCATTATGATGAATAACTGGACTATCATGATAACCTTTTTAAGAATTAGCCAATATTTTTGTCAAATGTACCAGTGGGCAAATTTAACAGGGTTAGAAACGCGTTAACCTGGATAACTTAGCCGGGCCACACTAATGATGTCTAAAATGCCCATGGGCTCAGCACCTGATGCTGTTTACTGAGAAAGCAAATATATAAGGCTAATGCAATAAAGAAGTTTTGCATTAAATATGATCTTACTCTAAGGAAAGAATCGAGCGCTCCGTTCTCCATGAACTCCGTGACAATAAGCACCGGGCAGCTCCTAGTCAGAACTCCCTCCAAGTGGATGACATTGGGATGGTCAAACTGGCCCATGATGCTGGCCTCGCTAAGGAAGTCCCGCCTTTGGCGCTCCGTGTATCCCGCCTTCAGTGTCTTGATGGCCACGGTTGCTTCCTTTCGGCCAGGCTGCTTGAGTCGGCCTCGACACACCTCCCCGAACTCTCCTGAATGAATGGAACAGAGGAAGAGGAGAGAGGGAGTGGGGGCGTGAGGGAGAGGGAGGATTATTGGTTTGAGCTCAGGATCAAAAAATCATTCGAGGGAAGAAATGATGTACTGCAGAAAAACCAAGGAAAGTGCGAACGAGAGAAAAAAATGGATGGCAACCGTTTAGGGTTTGAATAGGCAGGGGATGGATGGAGAGAGAGGGTGAGAGAGGAGTTTAGGGACAGGCTGTGGAGAGGGAGGAGACAGGAATTTAAGGGTTGTGGGAGTTTTGGGCCTGGACTCTGGATGTGAAAGTATGAAATGAGGTGGAGGGAATTGATTCAGATCGTAAAACATGGGAGTGGCCAGGAACAAGCACAGGGATAAATAAAGAATAATACAAAATAGGTAAAGGCAGCAAGCATCATGTATAAGGTTAGTTATAGTATAAACTCTCTACATGATCTCCCATGAATATGGTATATTATAAAAAAATAGCTATTGTTATAAATTAATATTTTTGAATATTTCCTCCAAAGCAATGGATCTTAACTGGTAGGTTGCACATCTGTTCTTACAGGGGTTATGGGCAGAAGGGACAAACTGAATGTAAATGATACAATGCAACTAATTATACAATTATTAATCAGCTATTTTCAACAAATGTTTCTTAAGCATCAAATCAGCATATTAGAATGGTCCTACAGAAATCATCTGACTCTGAAGGCTGCTGAAAATTCAACTATGCATCACAGGAATAAATTACATTCTAAAATATATTAAAATAGAAAATTGTCATTTTAAGTTGTAACAATATTTCACAATATTAGTATTTTTATTTTATTTTTTATCAAATAAATGTAGCCTTGATGAGTCTTACCTACCCCAAACTAATGAACGGTGGTGTATGATTTTTCATATTGTTAGACCTATGCAGTTCATGGTAATATTCATAAATGGCAATGTTTGGTTTAAAGGACACTGTTACTTTTATATGATAAATCATTTTGGTACTCTGTCATGTAAAATCTGAGTCTGAGAAAAACCAGTTTAAACCCACTTCTCCAATGCAAGCTGGAAAGCACAGTTAGAGAATTCCACGAACACTTTTTATATGTTATAGGTTTATGCAAAATTAGATATCAGGTGTTAGTATATTCTTCATAATGACCATTAATCAGAAAGGCCTGGTTTTGTTTAATACTGAGAGATGTGGTTTACCTGCTCCAATGACTTCCTCGATCTTCACACATGAGATGTCAATCTCTCGAGCAAACTCATGAACAGCCTCGTTCGGGTCCTCATATGTAAAAGGGTCAATGTAAACTTTTACACCGGGGGATACTAAAACCAAAAGAAGAAGAATGCTTTTCAGTTTGTTCTTTTTTTTTTAAATAATTTTTATTATTATGTAATACTTTAAATAGGATAAGTACATTGTAAAAAACTTAAATGTTTTCAAACATAATACAACCCAATGTGCCAATAACAAAAACTCCATAATTTTCTGCTGTATTCTTGTTGAACACAGATATATATTTTGACATTAATTTATATGGTAATACACACTTTTTTTTTACATCCAAAACCATACATTTTACAGTAAAAGTATGTCCAATTACATCAATTTTTCCCCATTGTATATACTTACATTTAACAAATCAACAGTTTTTTACTGTAACATTTTCTCTTATCCTATTAAAATTATGAACATAACTTATTCATTTTATAACATGACTTTATCATTTTATTTATTATTATTTTAATAAGCTATATTGCATCATTTTCACAAGCTATAAATAAATATGTACAGTAATAAATATGTTTTTGGTGCAGTTATACTCACCGTACTGCTGCAGTTTTTCAGTATACTCCAGCTCAGAGCCAGTACACTGCCGTCTGTAACCAGATTATATACACACTGAGAGTCTGGCTTAAGACTGGATTTCTACAGTACAGGCACAACAAATGTAACTGGGGCACTTTGTGAAAGAGAACATTTAGGTATTTCATATGCTTCAATCATCAGTTATGTCGCTCAAATTGCACAAAAAGCTAGTTTTATAAATCTAAACTTATGCAGATGATTCACTTCCTAAATGCCTACGATCGAGGCCATCTGAGCGATTTCTCGCCGTTCCGCCTAATTGCAATACGGTACATGCAGGATTCAAATGCTGGGTCACCACAACATGCAGCGCGAAAGATCAACCATCAAGACTGTCTTGTCATTGCTTCAAACCAGAACTGCTCCATTACACGGTTCAGATGAGCCAAAATGTAGGTTATACTCCAAAAACAGCAAGTCAATTAACACCAAATCATAGGTTGAATCTTAACATTTGGAACAAATAACCAGGCCCAGAACATACATGCTAATTTGATCTCGGTTCATGCCTGTATCAAGTATCTGAAGACAGTGAACAGTGTATTTAAATCTAGGCCTTCTCATTAAGATCTCTTTGTTTCGCTAACTCTGCATAAGTAGCGTGTTTGAAAGGGAACGGGAGCAAAGGGGCCTATTGGAATTCACCATCTGTGGGATTCCTTTTGTCTCTTGACCTGTGCTAACAATGACGCCTGCTGCTAATTAGCATCTCATCTACAATTTAAATGTCAGAAGGAAAAGAATGATGCTTCTGCGCGCGCACACACACACACACACACAAAGAACACATTAGGATACTAGCGCAGAGGGCATGAATGAGAGAGAAGAAAGAGCTTGAAGCGGAGAGGAGGAGATGCTTTGGCACAACAAGGCGGTCACAGTCAAGAAGAATGTGTCAAATAGACACAGTGGCAGTCTGCCGTCTCTGGAGTGATTGGCAATGTCCCAGTCTGCGCACAGATCTGGGCGAAGTGGCCTGAAACGAGCATCTTGTGAGTCTCATAAATATCCGAAGTCAGATGCACTTTGAAGTCTGTTTTGCAGTCCCTATCTGATCTAATTTAGCTGTTGTGCTGTTGAGTTTGTTGGACACGAGGCATTCAAATGATAAGCAATACAAATAGCTCTTTGCTAAATCAACATGAAATCTAAATGGACCCTGTTTACTTTCTTACTACAAGTTCCAGGTCTAAAGACGCGGTCACATTAGGAAATTTTGCAGGCAAAAAAAGGCCTGTTGTCTATTGTCAACATTGTAGCAATGCATGCTCACTTTCAAATCAAGCAGCCTTTGGTTGGTAAGTCTGGTGAATCTGTGTGACCAACTTGAATATGTTGCGAAATCTGCATGGGGAAATCTTTCACTCTCATGCAGATTCCTGATCGCAAGGATTCCTGCTGGAATGAACCCTTTTCACAGAAGGTTCTCAGAAGCATAAATTGTCATAGTTGGGGAAACTTCCATAGTGGTAAACGGAAATGGCAACAAATATAATTTTTGCATTCCCATTTGTTCCAATAGCAAATAAAATAAAAAATAAAAAATCCACAATAAAGCACAGGCGGGTTCTGGATGTAAAACCCCCATTATTTTAACAATAACTGATAAACCTATAAAGACAGACCTGTTGTGAGCTCCGAGGCTGTTCATCGATTATATATGCTTTTGTTGAAGCCATCTGTTTGCATGAATTCAACTTAAATAATTATAACTTAAAATAATCTTATTTAATAGCAGAATTCTTAGTGAAAAACTACATTAACATCAATTAAAAGTTTGTAATGTTGTAATTCACCTCATAGCTGCTTGGCTTGGTTCATGGCTTATAGTGCTTTAAAGAAGAGTTTTTAAAAATCCCTGTGGGGAAAAATGTATGAAAACTTCTGGAACCAGCACTGCTGAAAAAGTAGCCAGGCCTTAATGCACTCTATAGCATTTCTATGGCTTTACAAAAGAGAGAAAAATACTGAGAGCGTGATTTCATTGGTCAGAATAGAGCAATGTCAAATTTGCCATCACTTCCTTAGCTCCTTTATTAGAAACGCTTACACATTAGCGTTAACTAGTTTTCTGTAATTTAATGGCAAGGGAATATAACACAAAGGATAACAGTGTTAATTTTGACAGCAAATTTTGATTTAGTCTTAGTCATAGTCTTTTGACTAAAATGCCATTTAGTTATAGTCATATTTTAGTCATCTGAATTTAGTTGACTAAATCTACAGTAGATTTAGTCAGCTAAAATCTAATGGGTTTAGTTAGTGTAATGCACTTATTAAGCATTTCTCTAAAATTTCCAAACTCATTATATAGGTTTAATATTAAGGTTTTATCATGCAATATCGACACAGATTTAACTGCTGTGACACACAACATACCTTTATATTAAAATGAAATAAAACCCACTTCTCTTAAAGAAACAAGAACATTGTCCTCCTTTCAATGAAATACCAATGGTTATATAATATGCATTCTTAATAACAACTTGCCACATTCTTTCAAGCAGATATATATATATATATATATAAATACATTTAGATTAATCCTTATTAGGGTTACTAATGTCATTCAGTCAAGAACAGTGAGTGATTTTCTCTCTTTCTTTTGTTGCTTGACTACATCTTGGATGCCCTGGGGGTAAGCAGATAAACATCAAATTTTCATTTTTGGGTGAACTATCCCTTTAATGACACATACAAACCGCAACTAAATTAGGCTGCTGTCCCTTTAAAACCGAATGCACGGGTGTATTATACTGATACATATCCGATATTCTCCCAACTGTTTACGTTCACTGAGTGTAACCAAGTGTGTTTACGTGAATATTTGTCAAAACGGACAATTCAACATCATTTTTTGTGTATTTCTCCCTTCATGCAAGGTGAAAGAGAACTAAATTCAGTACTCGTGCACTGTGTGAGAGGCGCTTTTCTGTGTGCGTGCTTTGGGTGTGTGCAGACCGAATTGAGTTCTCTTTTACGTCATCATGCTTTTCAAATTTAGCCACATGTCTGCTGTTCTCTTACTCTCAGATATTGACATTTTTTAACTTTTTATGAGACGTGCAGCAAGTTGTTATGTCCAGCTGGATAGATCAGTAGGCTGCTACAGTTCAAATGTTCGCGTCTGACCTCCTAACCACACAGAAGATTAGTTCTGACTGGATCTCTTCCCAAATCGTCCCTCCTTAACATTTTCATCTTATTTTTATATTAGTTGACGAAAATGTCAATAGATTTAGATCGTCAAAAAACGATTCCAAAATATCTTATATTGTGATCCACAAAAGAAAGTAAATCATACAGATTTCAACAACACGAGGGTGGGCAAATGATGACAGAATTATCCCATGTACATGTGATTGATAAATGATAATACTTACCTAAGGCAGACAACAGCGATGACCACCATGGCAAGGATGACCACAAATCCTGCTGAGGCAGAGCCCACAATGAGTGGCAACAGGTCCTGTACTGACCGCTCTGGGTCATCTGTCAGATGAATCGAAATGTATTTAGAATACCAATAATGCTGAAATACACAAACGTACACTGAATGAGACATTTCTTTTAAAATCCATCAGGAGCAATACAAATAGACAATGCTGTTGACACGGTAAGAGCTAAAAAAATTAATATGGATGGCATCAGATCAAATAGGCTTGAAAGAATCTGATACAAAATGTTTAATTCATACTGAATTCATTGACTTAGACACATGCAACATTTCTAGGGGCTTTTTCTCATGAGAAATATCTAAGGAGCAGGAGATTTAACCTTAGCGCTGTCTAGGATAAACAATTCAGCAGGGATCTCATTTGTGATTATTTTTTCCTATGAGTAGTTTGGCATATAAAAATGCACTTGGCGACTCAGTATCTTTGTAACAGATGCAAAAGAAAGAAAATGTCTGTGTTCTTACCATAAAGACTTGTACTGAAGTCCACCGGGCTGCTATAGCGTCCGTAACCGGCTACAGTACGAGCACGTACTTGCACGCCGTACACCGTGCCAGCCTTTAAACCCTCCACTTTGGCAGAAGTGTGCTGTGCAGTGACGGTGTGCGAGAACGACTCTCCCTGAGAAACAGAAACATACACACTGAAGGACCGAAACTAGACTCTTGAGTCATTGAATGCTTAGAGTGAATGTTTAGTTAACAGTTTTCACTGCAATTAGCAGTATTTGAAAAGACAATCCCTAGCTAAAACTGTCATCCAAACATGCGGCCACAAGTAAATCCTATAGACGAATTAAGCTCCACTCTTTTTAGAATTAGCCATTGGGTTTTGACCAGTAGCCATCTGTTGTTCCATTATACTCCACTTTAAGACAAGCCAGGGTTACTTTGAGCTCAAGCCAGTAAAACCCATGCTGGGTGTCTGGTGTAATGTCATCTGGCTGGGGTTCAAGAGTTCTTCAGTCAGGGGTGATTTAGATGCACAGCAGTTCCTCACCCTCTCCTGGTACTTGATCTCATAATCCAGGATCACACCATTGGGCCGCTCTGGGGGCAGCCAGGAGAGGCTGAGAGTGCTAGCTGTGGCCCGCATTAAGTGGACGGTGGGGACTGCCGATGGAGCTGGAGGTGTTAAGAGATGGAGAGAGAAAAAGCAGAATAACTTTATTAGAATATCATCAGATTATTTAAGGCTGTGACTCTTTACTGGTGGGTCGGGACCCATAAAGGGTCTCTACGTAGTCTGTTCTGATAGCACGGACAGCTGGGAAATAAAATTCTAAATGCAAATACTAAAAAAAAAGAGAAAAATCTGCACATCAATCTTTACAGGTTTGGTTTAGGTAGTATTATGCAATATAGGAATAGTGTATTCTGATTATTGTGTATAATAAACTGTTGTGGCAATTTTCTATTTCAATAAAGGTATGAGACAAAAGTGTTTTGAAGATTTATTTTCTTGCAAGAAAAGGTCAACAGTCATACAGATTGCAGAGTGTGACCAAGAGGCAACACCCCAACTCAACCTTTATACCTTCATCAAATCCGGATGCTTTGATCTCATCCAATCATAATGCATATTCAACATATATGTCCATTTAAGGTGTCTAACTATGTCCTCCAGATGCGTTTCTAAGAAGCCAGGATTTTTAAAAAGCTGACATAACATTTTCCTGTCTCACACTTAGATTTCCTGTTATCTCTCATCTCATGACAAACTTAAGCACATTAATGAGGCATTTAAAAAAGACAGAACACTCTTTAGTAGAGTAAAGCAAATACTAATAATATGAATATAGAATACATTTTCCTCCACACTCCACTTTTTTTTTTTACAATTCTTCGATAACCATAGAAAAATCCAGAATTATAAATACACACATATCCACATAAACTGAATAATTAAAAATAAATTATTTATTGATCAATATTTTTATTATATTTTTGCTTGTGGGTCAATGGCAATGACAATTTGAATTTATTCAATGATTACAACATACATACAACATTCATACATACAACATTCATACATACAACAAACTGAACACCTCTGATGAACATGTTTTGATAATTAGATTTTTTTTTCTAATTTTAAAGTATATTTTTTCAAAATATAAAGTAGTCTAACATGATCTTTAATAATTTATTTATTTAACAATTACAACGTTTGGCTACCAAATAATAGCCATGTGGTGAGACATGCAAAATGAATGAATGAATGAATATTATATTGATATGATACGATATTATATGATAGTACATTATATTTTTATGGCATTACATTTTTATGGCAAGGCAAGCTTAGTTCAGATGTGGTGTGACTCCCCAAAAACTTGATTTGTAGATAAATAATTCATGCTTTCTCTCTCTCTCTCTCTCTCTCTCTCTCTCTATATATATATATATAGACATATATATGTATATATATGTATGTATGTATGTATATGTTGTACAATCAAAAAAATATATTGTACAACTTCTTGAAAATACTGAAAACGTATTCAATGTATATGGAAAATTTGTTTTTAATTTGTACTTTTTACCACATTACATTTTTACATCATTTTACATTATTACATTTAAAAAGGTTTTTCAAAACCATATGAACCCAACATGATTTCAAAGAGTACAATTCTTAGAACTTTAAAAGATGCACTAGATTTTTAAAAGATTACACATTTTCTTTATGAGGACACTGTTATTTGTCATTGACACTTGTGCCAGTGTTTTATAAAAACAATAAGCCACTGCAGGCTGTGCTTTACTGTGATTGTAACTGTTTGGTCTAGTTGAAACAGTCTCCTGTGGTTTACTGGTTTATTAGACAATTGAAAATGAATTTCTCACCTGCTTGATTGGTGGTGATATTGACAGTGGCATATTGCGGGGTGGATGGGCTCTTGGGGGACACACCGTTGACAGCCTGGATCTCAAAGCTGTAATGGGTGTGTGCCTGTAGATTCCTCACTGCCGCCTGCCTCTCGGCCAGACCCAGTCGCCGTGGTGACACCTCCACGTTATCGTCACACCGCGCACAGGACCCGCCATCGTGCAGGCACTTCTTACACACCACGTTATACACCATGTCACCTCTCCCGCCCAAATCCCGCGGCTCGGACCACTCCAGTGACACTGAAGTCTCGTTCACACTGGAGATCACGTTTAATGGTGCCGAAGGAACAGCTAGAAAGACAACGGTAAAGAGTTATACTCATGGAACATGTATAATTTAACAGGCCAAATATGATGTCCTGGAGCAAAACATTTTCTGCACATATCCTACGGTATATATTTAGTCAGGAATAAAAAAAATACCCTTTTTGTAGATCGTTACATAGTAATCCAAGACTAATTAAAAAGCTGGAGCCTTAAAGTCAGGCTGTCATTGGCTAAATTATCTAATTATTCTTGCATATTTGTTTCAAAAATGTCTAATTTACAATGCACTCCATAGTTAACTTGTCAGGGTCAAATCTCTAACCAACAAATCTTGCTCAGTGAATCATGATGTAAACTAATTAAATCCAGAGGTTGGATTTTCAAAAGCACAACTGCCTAAGGAACTGGAAGCTGTGGTTATAATTATTGAAAAAGAATACATATTTTTTCCTTTTTTTATGTGCATACCTCCAGCACAATTCCGTTTTTTAAATTCATAAACTACAAACAACATACTGGCTTCCTGATAATGTTTCAAAAGACTGAAAAACAAAAGCTCTCCAACCAGGGGATTTTGCAACACATTGCATCAATGTGTGAATTTATGTGATATTTCCAATTAAATCCATGTGTCAAGATTCAACAGCGCTGAAGCTAACCGGTTATAAAGATGCTGCGAACCGACAGGCTTACATTAGCGATCATGGCCTTTTTATCAACACGCTTTTCTGTGTCATTATTCGCCACATCAAACGGGCCGAATGCACAGGACAGACCTTTTCAACATATAATTAGCACAATGTGGGAGCTATGTTAATTTGACAAGTGCTACTGATGATCATCACTTACCAGTGCAGGCTGCATCAGGGGGGTCGCTGTCAGCACGGTAGTAGCCGCTTTGACAAGGGCAAATGCTAGACGCCCTAGAGCTGGCCCGGCTGTTGGAAGGGCACGGCATACAAGAACCCTCGCCCTGTTTGGATTTGAAGGTCCCTGGGGTGCACGCTAAAGAATCATAAAGAAAAGGGTGTGTTACAACATGTCATTTTCAAAAATAAACCTTAATAAAATTTATTTTATTATCGCGCTGGAGATCACGTTTAATGGAGCCGAGGGAACAGCTAGGAAGACAGCGGTAAAGAGTTAAACTCGTGAAACATGTATAATTTAACAGGCCAAATATGATGTCCTGGAGCAAAACATTTTCTGCACATATCCTACGGTATATATTTAGTCAGGAATAAAAAAAATACCCTTTTTGTAGATCGTTACATAGTAATCCAAGACTAATTAAAAAGCTGGAGCCTTAAAGTCAGGCTGTCATTGGCTAAATTATCTAATTATTCTTGCATATTTGTTTCAAAAATGTCTAATTTACAATGCACTCCATAGTTAACTTGTCAGGGTCAAATCTCTAACCAACAAATCTTGCTCAGTGAATCATGATGTAAACTAATTAAATCCAGAGGTTGGATTTTCAAAAGCACAACTGCCTAAGGAACTGGAAGCTGTGGTTATAATTATTGAAAAAGAATACATATTTTTTCCTTTTTTTATGTGCATACCTCCAGCACAATTCCGTTTTTTAAATTCATAAACTACAAACAACATACTGGCTTCCTGATAATGTTTCAAAAGACTGAAAAACAAAAGCTCTCCAACCAGGGGATTTTGCAACACATTGCATCAATGTGTGAATTTATGTGATATTTCCAATTAAATCCATGTGTCAAGATTCAACAGCGCTGAAGCTAACCGGTTATAAAGATGCTGCGAACCGACAGGCTTACATTAGCGATCATGGCCTTTTTATCAACACGCTTTTCTGTGTCATTATTCGCCACATCAAACGGGCCGAATGCACAGGACAGACCTTTTCAACATATAATTAGCACAATGTGGGAGCTATGTTAATTTGACAAGTGCTACTGATGATCATCACTTACCAGTGCAGGCTGCATCAGGGGGGTCGCTGTCAGCACGGTAGTAGCCGCTTTGACAAGGGCAAATGCTAGACGCCCTAGAGCTGGCCCGGCTGTTGGAAGGGCACGGCATACAAGAACCCTCGCCCTGTTTGGATTTGAAGGTCCCTGGGGTGCACGCTAAAAGGTGACAAAGAAAAAGGTTAGTTACAGTATGTAATTTTTAAAAATGAACTGTACAAAGTAAAAAAAAAATGAGTACACTAAAAATGTTAACCTAAAAACATGCTTCTAAATTAATATTAACATATTAAAATATATTTATAATTATATAAAATATAAAATTTTGTCAAAAATATTACTTAACATCACTGACTCAACCTAAATACGTTTGGTTACATAAACAAATCCAAATAGAAATAGCTCCTTAATAGAATATTACAGGTTCAATGCAAGTTAAATTCACAGCATTTGTGGCATGTTGGTTACCACAAATTTTTTTTTTACTCCCTCCTTTTCTTTCAAAAGAGAAAAAATCTTGGTTATAATAAGACACAATGGATGTGAATGGGGCTAATCAAAAGTATAGCTAAAAGATGAACAATCTGTGTGTTAACATGATTTTACTATGTAACACTCTAAGAACCCAAACACTGATTGAGCCTGTTGGGTCATTTTTTGGGTTACTTTTTTCCAGTGTTGGGTAGTTTTTGGTCAAATGGAGCTCTTCCCCAGCAGTTGAGTTACTGAGCGCTGGCTATTTTGGGAAATATTTCTTACATGTTAAAAATGGTATAAAATATGCTGTATTAAGAACTGTATTATGAGGTAAAAAAATGGTAATCCTAAATCCAAAACCCTAAAACAACCATGGCCCTGTTCATTTCCACGTTAAGTGCCTTACCGAAACTTCATTGCCATGACAATATAATGGCTAAAACCCTAAAACAACCATACAAACAACAAGAACAACTTTACATATCATAATAATACTCTCATTTTAACAGAAGGATGAATGTGTTTTTATATTTTAAGCTTCACGTTTCTGCTTAAATCAACACTGAACAGATTGGAGCTGAATAATGACACTATTGTCTTTTTAGAGCTGTTTACAGCAGAATTTGGATTTGTCTTGTATTTGATAAAGTTTGAATCAGTGATGCTATTATTTTTATTTTTATTATACTGTGAAGCTGCTTTGAAACAATCTGTGTTGTATAAAGAGATTAAGGTGACTTGCCTTGCTTTTAAATCCCCCATTCACTTCCATTGTGAGTGTCGCATCGTAACTTTTTGCTTTAAGTAATGGAGGGATTAATCAAAATTATTTCTTGTAGTAATCAATATTATCAGTTCTTAGTTGAGCTTAACTTGCATTGAACCTGGAATATTCCTTTAAGGTTGCCATTTGTTTTTTCAGTATTGTGTTGGCACTTGAAATATCTGGATCATGAAACAGCTGCGAATAAAATATTTTTCCATCACAAAAATGACACACTCAGGGTCGACGCTAGAGCACGTAAAGTGAGGGGGCATGTCTTTTGGCACCTGTTTCTGAATATAGATTGATCTAAATTATCTAGCCTATAGTGTAGATCATTTTCAGATGCAATGGATGCAACAAATAAAAGAGGAGAAACACAAACGAAACTTGCAATAAAAATTTAAATTTAATAACATGTAGCCTAGTTTTATATATGAATAGGGTGTTCGTCAACTGATTGCATGCCGTCGGAGTTTCCAGTGTTGACAGCTCTGTAAAATAGCCTACTGGAAGCGCTGTAGTTTTGCTGTATATAGCTACTAAAAATATGAGAAGTACAACACACAAACACACTTAAGAATAAGATTCAAAACATTTATAACAAGAATGAATCACCTAAGCTCCGAAGAAGTTAGTTTGCTAACCGCACTAAAGTCAGTCCGTTTCTTTTGGAAGAAAATAACTGATGTAACAGTCTGGCTGAGGAATCGGCTGCTTTCTGTTTTTCCTGTGAACAATCCACCACACCCGTGTCTCCTCACAAAACACTGCAGTTAATGGGGACCATGCCGAGAGATGTGTCCTGCATGTGACACCACAGGTGAATTATAGCAAATACAGAAAAAAAAATTCATCTTCAGTATTCCTCCCATGACACATATCGCTTCACGGCTAGTGTAATAAGACAGTGGAAAATCCGAGCGAGTGACCCCTGCTCTCAGCCTTAACATGCATGGCGTTACGCATTCAGACAGAGCGCGAGAATGAGATGGGAAGAGCTTTGAGAGACTGAGAGAGAGTGAGAACATGCCCATATAAATGTTAACTGGGCTTGGCTGTTTCCCTTCTGTGTGTGTCAGTGGGCCTGCGGATTAAAGCTGGAAGGTGATAAAGGAAATTAGACGCACTCTCCATTGGACATGGTGCATCTCATGGCTGTATAGCACAGCCTGGGAGAGTAATTTATCAGTCCTTTAAGGCAAGCTCTTAACCTTGAACAACCAGATGGAAACAAATGAGCCGCCACATACTGGCAATCTCAAAGGAAGTTCCCCTCTGTCCACCAGTTCCTTCCCAGAGAACAGTTCACATTCCAATTCACATTTTATTACTCTGAGCCCACCTCATAATTCATTCGCACTCCCTGTCTCTCCTCCCCTGCTCTCTCTGTAGTCTATCTTTTAATTTTCCCCATTACTCTCCCAGACTTGCGGTCGAGAATTGGTTTTGCCTTCTGCAGAACTATCCATCTCTGGTATATCGTACTGTTAGGACCCTATCAGATGTGTCAGTGGAAGCTGTGGTCTGCTGCTGTTGGCAGCTTTGTTCTCTGACACTACTGCAGTCCTCCACCCATTACTGAGACTCTCTCTCTTCTGTGCTGAGCCCAGATAAGGTCTGCGGGGAGACTGTGGATCAGTACGGGCGAATCCTTGCATTGTTCTTACTGTTCGAAACTCCAGATTCTGGACTGGCAGGCGATACTTGCCTTGTTGAGCTCCTAAATTCTGGCCTTTTCATATTCACCTAAAAATCCTATTAACAGATTTGGCCTTTAACCCCAGAATGCAAAGAGAAATCCAATTAGGTAATAGTCTTATAACACTTCTTGCATCAAAGCCATATGACTTTCTTTCTTCTGTGGAATACGAATAGAGAAATGCTGCAGAATGTGTTAACCCCTTAGCATTTCTGTAAAATTTGCCTAAAACACACAGTGGAACGCTAACAGGTTCATAAAAGAGAACAAAAAAGCACCATAAAAGTTTCATAAAAGCAGTCAATATGACTACTCAGAAAAAGATTCGGATTTACTTTTATTAAATGGAAGACAGAAAACTAATTTTAATTTTTGGGTGAACTATTCATTTCATGTAATTGTATATGTGTGTTGTGAGTTGACTTTTGTGTGGACAAATTTGCAGTATGACAAAACCTTCCTTTGGGGACATTTGAAGGCATTTAAAAAAAATAAGAAAATAATGTGTTTTTAAATAAAAAATGCTATGTTTTTTTTTGCGTATTATTGTTATGGTGTAGGTTTTATAAAATATGCACTATATTTTAAAGATTTGAGGCCAATAAGATTTGTAAAATATTTAAATATTTAAGTAAGTATAATAATTAAATAAGTCTCTTATTCTTACCAAGGCTGCAGTTATTTAATAAAAACACAACAAAGGTAATATTGTTTCCAGTGATGGCAAAGCTGAATTACTCCTATCTTTTACCACATATACAACTGAATATGTTTATAATACATAACACTGTCATTAACTTTTCCACGACATTCTAATTTATTGAGATGCACCTGTATTTACTTACAAAAACATGAAAAATTAAAATCTATTTGAAGCTGCATGTTAATACAAACTCATTTTTAACATAAAAAATAGCAAACCACTAAATGTGAAATTAGTTCACATTATCAAAAAAACTTAACTGAGAAATTTTGAATGTCTTTTGAATGACTTTGAAAATTTAGTTATGCTAAATTTTTAAATTTAGCTAAAAAAGTTAGTTCTGTCAGGACCACTATCGTCAAAATGATAGATACTTAGCATAAAGTTTGGTTTGGCGGTATGGTTCTGTTCATGCAGCCTGTCATGAATGAGCAGGGAGAGCAGCAATAATAACCCCCTAGGGTTAACATAACAGAACAAGGCAGATATCATTAATGTATTTAATGATATTTAAGTGTAACACTTTATTCAAGATAAAGGAGTCTGATTAGCAAGGAATATCAGAAAGCCAAGTCCTGACTGTGGCGAAAGGAGGAGCTGGGGATGGAGGAGGGTAATTTGCTCCGGAGCAAGCTGAAAAGCTGCTGAATAATACTGAATAGAGCTTATATAGGAATGTCGCGATAGGTGTCGTATTCCTATAGGTAGATGTGATCAGCTGATGCAAGCTTGACTCACGTGACCTGCCAGAACTAACGCTAACGCTTAATTTATGCTATTCAATGTGAGTTATGTGTGTGTAAAAAAATTAGCATTACCAGTGACTGCATAAAAAAGGATATAAAACCGCTCTGACCTGCAAGTAACCTTTACATTGCTTCAGACAGATTTTATAATCCATATTGTAGCATCTACCAGCAAACACTCAAAAGCTTCAACCAGAATCCGCTTTCTTCTGATATAAAAAGTCAAACACTTACCCTGGCACTGAGTATCTTTCTTGGCCGGCTCAAAGCCCGCCATGCAGGTGCATGCTCCCACGGGAACCATCCATTCTCCATCTCCGTTACAGTACAGCTTTAGAGGGACAGATTCCTCGATGGCGTTTGGCACACAGGCTCCGGCGGCGATGACCAGAGAGGTGGCCTCGGCACCAGTGGCCGTCTCGGGGAAGACAGCGAAGTTAGCAATGGTGGTGGAGCACTTTTTAAAGAAGACCCTGGCCGAGATGAGGGACATGCAGGAGCCCAGGTCCTGGAAGGCCAGGTAGAAACCAGCTTTGGAAAGAGGACCTAAGCTCCGTACTTTGGTGTTGACGATTCCTGACTCCAGCAATGAGAAGCTCTCGTCGGGGGCTATGGTGTCCACCTGGGGACAAAAGAAAATAGAGAAGGTAAGTACATTCAATTTGATATTGTTGTCCAGTCACAGAGTGTTAGGACTTTCTGTGGACTGTAAACCTTTATCTCTGTAATTCTGTCATCATTTTCTCACCCAAGTCATTCTAAAGGTCACATTAGTGAACTTTTGGTAAAATTTTGTGGGTCCATTGTCTTTTGTCAATAGTGTAGCAATGTATGAAGTCACTTTCAAACTAAGCAGCTTTCTGTTGATCAACGCAACAAATCCATGTGTCCAACTTGAACCTGTTGCGAAATCTGTGCGAAATATCTATTTGTGTTATTTCCTATTAAAATGACTGGAGATCGCCCATGAAAACGTAACTGCATCTTAAACCTGTATGACTTTCTAAAAAAATTATATTGGACCTAACTTACATTCATTAAATGGACAAAAATACACTGACCTAATGTATTCTTTTGTGACTAAATGATGACAATCTCTTTAAATATATGTTACATTCCAAAGTAAATAAGACACTATCATTCACCAAAACATTGTAAAATGTATCATCATGCAAAGTCTTAAATTAAAAGAAGTCATCATTCCGGCTGACCTTTACGTAGGGGTTCTCCCTCCATGGCGGGCTGCTTGCTGTGGCGACGTCTCCATCCGATTCATAGTAGAACAGATTAAAGGTCTCCTTACAGGACCCGGGAATATTGGGAATACTGCCACAGTCCCGCACAGAGAACTTGAGCTCCACGTAAACTCGAAGAACTCCCCGTCGTGGGATGAAGTCTGTCCGGAGCCAGTTGTTCTGACTGGGCTCCAGTACGTTACAGACCTGGTATGTCCTGATGGGGCTCAAGTGGTCGTCATATCCACTCACTTCTTCCCACTGAGAAGGGCATAAAATACTGTCACTGAATGCACAATGAACTTTCTTGAAATTAAATGTCCAACTGAAAAATTATAGTAGATAAGACCTTTGGAATTGTGTAAAGAATATGTGTAATTTATCATTTAAGGTCTTATTGCGTTATTGCTTACTTCCAGTGAAACTAGCAAAACATGGAACTCAGTGATGCTGTAACTTGTTACCTTCCTCTCTCTTTATGTAGTGAAATCTTTCTTTATATATAGTTTCTATTGAATGGTCCTTGATCTATTAATCTTTTTCCACATAATTGTATGGGTCAGTGACATAACAATTGAATAAATAAATAAATGATTGAAAAGAGAACCTTCTTAAGTTGTTTTACATAATCTTGTATTATAATTCCTTAAGGGTACTGCTTTTTCATATAAAAAAAAACATTAGTCATGTGGTGCAACCAACATGCAGAAACATACAGGGGGGAAAAAAATTAAACAGGAAATTTTATCATAATGTGTGTCAATGTCATTATGTCTCCTCAAATATCAGATAATTTGACCTTTTTAAGGGCAAGGTTCTGCCTGTAAAATGTCAAGCGGTGTGACTCCCAAAAATGTATGTATGGATTAATAATTCATGATATTTTTATTCATAATATTTTGCCTTAAACAATTTTTAAATGAAAATAAGAAAGAAAATATTACTTTTTACTTGGCACATGCCAATTTTACAGTCATACCATATATACCATATGGTATAAAAGGCATTCTTCGTCATTGGCCTGTTTATTAAATACAACATATTTTCAGATTGGCTTTGAAATCATGCCACATTTTCTTGTTTACTATGGACTGACAAATTATTGGTTAGGACACAGTGTCACATAAAACCTAAAAATCCTAAAATGACCCAGATCTATGGATCGTTATTAAGATGATACCTGTAAGTTTTGCCTCAAAGCAGCAGTAAATGGAAGTAGGAATAATGAACGACTCAAATGCTCAATTAAATTCATGTCGGTGGTTAGGGTAAATAGAAATGCTTTCTCAAAGGTGACATTTGGGTTGCCTGAACTTCTCACAACACAATTAAGAGGCCCCGCAGCGAGGGGTAGCATGTGTTTATCTCCAGGTGTGAAGGAACATATTACTTATGATGATGCATGGCTTTTGAGATGCCAGACATCGAGCGCCAGCCTGCGGAAAGGGCTGAGTTGCTTAAGATTGTTGCCATGGCAACCCATCATTTCCATTGACTGACTTCGCATGCACATTCCAAAGACAAATCATACTACGGGAGCGAGTGGATTTGGGTGGGGGGTGTAAGGCTTAAGGTCAGACTCGCTGTGGTTAATTTCTTCACCAGTCACATGTGTAAAATAAACTGCTGCTTGCAAACACAGAGGTGGTGAATGATTGTTCTTGTTAATGGCCCCCTTTCATTTGTCTCGTCAATGCATGTGTAGATTAATAGCCACCCTTTCGGACAATTACAAACAGGAAAACGCTGTAACTCACCCCGCTTTCTGGATAGGTGGTCCACGCCAGCTCTGTAGTAGCCCACCTGCTGTCCATAAGAGTCTCTGCAAAACAGGCAATCAATGAGGCTCCGACAACAGCAGCCTCCATTCCAAACACAACAGAGCATCAGCACTCTAAAAACTGTAATTTAAATGGGTACATATCAAAGCACTTCACTCATTTGAATTCCCCGCATAGTGGAAGGCCTAATCACTGTTTTCACTCCACACACTAATAATGTGATCCGCATTTATCTACGCACTCCAGCTCTGGCCTGTGGCTGATCTGAGAACAGATCCTGTTGCGTACCGCAGGGATGCTCGCAGCACAGTGACATTCTGCATCCCAGGCGATCGCTGTTCTTTAAATACACTCCGATCAGTGGAGCAAAACTGCATGAGCCAGCTTCCGCAAATTAACCGTACATGTGAATGTTTTATTCACTTTGTAAGTCAGCGTTCGATGAAGCCGAGTGCTCGCTTCAAATTAAAGTGACATGCACACATCTGCGCGAAAATCAGTGGAATCTTTAGAGCAGAACATCAACTTAGCTGATTAAGGCCCCGGCAAATGCACATATGGCAAACGTACACATGCCGTTTATGTGGATTGTACACCTTGCTTTTATAGCACTGTAAATCACAGAGAGAGTTAATTGTGTGATCAAATAGCCGTAAGGGCATCTCGTTGTGTGAAATATTCATAAAATTGAAGGGAAGTTATTTTGATGCTTTGATCAATTCCTTATGACCGCATTCAGTCTTTAAGCCCTTTGCATCTGTGCATTTGGCCGCATTGTGGAAAACAATGTTATGATACTTATTTTTACACATAGCAGCTCATCGCAGTCTATTTCACACAAATGAGTGTACAGGATGTTCTTTGAAACTTTGTTTTGTACAGTCAGCAGATGTACAAAACGCCTCATTATTCTTTGAAATCTTTTGTTACTCCACTAGATTATCGGAATGTAAGACAATAAAGAAAAACAAACAACATTTAGAGGCAGTTATAAGGAGTAAAATAAGAATAGTGCGTATTTGTTTAATTACGATAAGCATGTTAACATGCAAAATTTGATTTCAGTCGGACTAAAGCAATAGTCATGGAAATGCTTTAAGGAACGTTCTCACCAACTATAACGATAACTAACACTATAAAGTTTTAATAATCACTCTAATTCTACGAGAATAGGAAGTTCACACCACAATGGTAATGACACAATATTGTTTGAAACATGATTTTTTTTCTAGTTGATGAATAATAAAACATGAATAGACAAACAGAATTCACCCGACTTTAAAGAGCTTGAGCATTTCAATTGGCAGACGACATAATTGAAGTGTGCCATTAGAATAAACAGAGCATTATTGTGCGTTGATATGGCGAATATATAGTTAATGTTACAGTCACCTTTATAGTTTTTGTTTTTGATATGAATGGGCCTTTAGTCCAAATGAAATCATACAAATTCCGTTTTTGCAAAATTGGACTAAAGGTGTGGTCACATTTATCATTGTTCAGCGATTTTTCACATCATTTCAAAATCCAGTCATTTCAACATGAATTCACATGATTTGGAATTTCAAATTAGGACAAAAGATTTACACATGCAAATTCTGTAGGGGCTAGTACTATTTATGCGATTGTAGCATGGCTTTATCCAGAATGTGTACGCATTAATCTGACTGCAACTGGACTCGCTTTGTATGTTTACAGTAGTGATGTGCAATGGATGCAACACAGGCATGGTATGCAACTAGTCTGTATCGATTATTCGTATATACATTGTGTCATATGCACTTGAAATCACAGAACCAGGGGCCATACACGCAAAAAAATGTTTTTGTATTTAACAGCGTGAGACACAGTGTAGCGGAATGAAAAAAAGCAAGGTATATAGATTAATTTTTTCATGCCATGCGAGACTCTGCAAATGATGCAATACACAGAGGTAAAACATGTCTGTCTAGTGCATGTTACCATTGCTATGAAAAACAATGGAAAAGTGGCGCAGTGGAATGCAAAAAATAAATAAATAAAACTGTAGCTCAACGACTGTGCATGTAAACGTAAGAAAGTGTTATTATCTTGTAATGAAACTGTAATAACAAAAACTCACCCTTTTTTAAACCACAGTAATGATAACCACTAACAGGGCCAAATCGCGTAAGGTTTGTTTTATATTTAGACACCATAGTTCCCAGAAGGCTTCTGACAGATGGACTGACTTGACACAGGGGACCCTGGATGCAGCTTTACACTTTCCCTCTTGTCAAGAGGTGCTAGGCCCACTTGACCTCCATTGGAAGTGTAACTAATGTAGTCTGTTCATAAACCTGCTCGGAAACTAGGCCTATGAGTCAAACAGCAACTCTCTCTCTCTCTCTCTCTCTCTCACACACACACACACACACACACACACACACACACACACACACACACAATCGATTAAGATCCTCACACTGAAACTGATGAAGAATCGAATAATGGCCAAGGTGAAGGAGTATCTGGCTCCACTGTAGTTAAGGATTATGGATAATTATTAGTTAAGGGACATGACCGAGGTACATAATGAAGTCAGCTATGCACGTATCTGTACTAAAAATACCAAACAAAATCCTGCCTTGAGACTGTAATTTTGTAACAAGGAACCAATCTTGTTTTTGCTGAGCAGCAATTAGTTTTGAATATGAAATTAATAATTCTCAAACATTAAATTACAAGAAGAAAGAGAGACTGATTGCTAATATGCTAACAGTATGCATTTTGTTAAATATGCAAACAACAGATTTTACAGATGTACAAATATATATTTTCATTTGTAAATTACATTTGTGAGGGCTAGAAAATATGATGGGGACACTAACCTATTCATTAGAGTTCTCGACAGTGTGAAGTCAACAAACCTCAAAGGTATCTTTTCCGAAACCACACCTAGGCTCAATATTGACACGTTTCACCTGACCACTGTTTTCAAAAACTGACTTGGATTTCATTTCAAAATGCATTGTTACTTTGAAGCGATTCCGTTTTCTCACCTTTGAACAGCTGTGATCATGCAAGCCAATTAACATGTGTGGCAATTACACTGAAGTGATGCTGCTATCATCACTATCTGGGTGACTTAAAAGCCTTTAGGGTGAAATGTGTCACACCAGAGCAACAGGGGGCTTTCAGCAGTCCTAAACCATGTGTCGCAAGCAGCACAAAGCACATCTGAAAATCTAACAACTACATCTGATTTTTAATACAGTAACGATCAAAGCAGAACACTGTCATTATAACCTCACAAGACTCTACACTTCCAAGCAAATTAAAGAGATTTTTGGATGTATAACAACATATTCACCATTCAACACAACAATAACTATTAGATTTTGATTAGTCACCGGTTTTACAGTTTGTTATAATAACGAAGCCACGGAGCATGTGGACAAACAGCATCGTCTGTATCAGTACATGGACATACCATAACACAAACACATCACTGGTCTGTGTAAAGCTTCCACGCACAGAATAAGACATTTCTCAAAAAAAAAAAGACCTTCAGAAACTAGAATTAGTCAGAATAACGGCAAAGAAATGCAATGATGATTCAGAAACGGACACATTAAGCCCTGGTAATGATGTGAAAATCAGACAGTCATCCAGTAAAGGCTACACCTAAACGCCAACGGACGTAATCTCTCTTTTAATTTATTCACTTTCAACGCCATAAAATATTGTACATTTGCAGCCATTTGCATATCATCTGCATCACTGCCCGATGAATAAAAGGCATAATCGCACCAAGACTAGGCTATTTAAGTTTTTGTCAAACGCGAAGTTTTCGAGCCAGAACAGTCCGCGCTGTCTGTAAATCACAAGCTTTAAGTACATATTTTTTAGTTTTTACACATTCTGTTGGAATTCATAAAAGAATAGCCAACTGATGACCATATAACAGCAGCTTGGATACCGAGTAGCTCCGTAACAAAGAGCTTTTATACGTACCCTCAACAGCGAGAATAACGGGTACCCAAAGGCTGTATAATAACAGCGAATAATCCATTATCATGAAGCTTGAGGTTGCAACATGAATAGCTTTTTGTCTATATATCACCGGGACAGAAAGTCTCGTTAAATCTCAGCATTCATGGACTGGAGGAACGAATTCACGCCTTGAGAAATTTCAAGCTGGGGAAAAAAAAAAAATGCACAGCTCCTCTTGCTGTGGTTGTCTTCACGTCTTTCATTCACAACTGTTCGCACTATGGAATCCACGGACGGTCTCTTTCGTGAGCGCGGTCTATCATCATCTTCTACATGTGTGGCATCATCCTCATCCTCAGTGTGAAAGAAGCTGTTGATTCTCTGCGACTGCACGGAGGAGTGTCAGTTGCGAGAAAGGATGGGGGGCGAAAGCTCTATTGGTCTCAAGGCAAAACCCTGCGGGATACCGCTGATAACTTACAGACCAAGTACTCCCCCTTGTTCGTTTATTTATGCATTTCATTATTTGTTTTAGAGAAGTGTTAAATCGATGTGTAACTCTTTTAATGTATATGCCACTATACGGCAAAACAGCATAAGAATCCACAGAAGCTGAGTTGTGGTGAATTGCTAATGTATGGATATTTTTTGATGCACAGCGCCACTCACCGTTTGTTTACTGCAGGAATTGGTGTACTGTAGTTATGAAGGGAGTGACTTGGCAAATGGCCACCACTAGGATATTTGTGTAACAGTCAACCAACACCAATAATAAAATCATCATCCAGCTTTCTGCTGATTAAATAATGGGCTACATGTTGACATGAAGGTTATGGGATAATGTAAACAATCTTCAACGCTGTACATGAATGATATCATGCACAGTGCTGAATATTACTTCAGAAATGTAATCTGGTACTTATTACACAACAGTTTTTATTATACATAATTCAAATTCAGTCTGGTTACCATGACTTAATTTTGATCTAACGTATTTATTTGGCTTCACATGAACAATCTTGTCCCAATTTGAAAAGAGAAATATAGACAGAGAAACATATTCCTTGAACTACACTATCAACACACAGTGTGTTTCATTACTTACATGTTGTTGTGAAAGTTTAATCACTAATTTTGAAGTGTGTTATAAATACCAATTAACACTCATCAAGTAACAATTAAATTTGATTAAACAACAGTAGGACTGACTAGTAAAAAGCATTTTGTGATGGTAATAAGCCAATTTTAGACAACAAAGATTGCAACAATAAACAAGTGCATATAACATTGCAACAATTGTTCTATGTATAATTTACCATACAACAATGTATAATTTGTCATGAATTATATTTCAAGTAATCACAACGATGTAGAGAAAGCTAAAAAGCTTTTTAGATGTACTATATGTTTTGTTTAGATTTTGACTTTGGTTAATTGTGTCTTGGAGAAAATATTGCCTAATGAACAGCACTCCATTATGTGTCTGCTTCTTCCAGTTGCTGTCATTTTATTTAATGATTAAATAAATGTTGATTAATTTGAACATTTAATTGTGGAATTATCTATAAAAGTGTTAAATGAGAGTTCACACTTTTGATTTGCTTGTTGCTGCTAATAAAATAACTTTCTTTAAGAGACACTCTGGTCACAATCTGTGACGGCGAGGAACGATGCAGATGAGGAATAAACGAAACAGTCTTTAATCCAAGAAACACAGGGTACATCCAACGCTGGGAACAGCAGAAAACACATGAACATAACAAGTAGAACCGACAGAGACAGACTGCACAGACTAGGACTTAAATACAGGGGAAGATTGGGGAAACACAGGTGTATGGGATGACTAATCAAACTAATTAACAAAACTAGGACAGTAACATGACCAAATAACAGAAACAGGGGCAAAACATGACACAGACAGTCCATGATCCTGACACACGTTCAGAATGCATTCCAATTCCAACCCACCTTTTTATTTATTTATTTTTTTTGCAAAATCCTTTGTTTGGTCTTAACACCTCACCTTGCTGAGGAGTGCTGTGATTACTTCAGTCTGAAGTAATCACAACCACAAAGAACATGATATAATCTCTGGGAAAATATATGATTCATACACTGAAATGAAACTCAGCAGAAGAACTACAGCATTTTATCTTAATCATTGCATCACGGAACTTGGGAATTTAAGGGAGATCATTCAAAGATTTGCAGTAAACAGAACGCAACTCAGACTCATGAGGGAAACAGCTTCGATCTTTGGGTAAGACAATCTTTGATGATGCAAATATTACCTGGTTCCGAGAATGCTCAAATCTCAGGGATTTGGTAATGTTTGATCATCTGATATAGTTGTGATTTCACCAGCAGATGCTGAAAGACATTGATCAAAGTATCAAACAGTGTACAACATAAATTCAACCCTTGTAATACACGCAAGACTTCAAATCCTTGGCCATCCTCACATCAGTTTCAAGCAGCGGATGTCAACAGGAGCTTGTTTTTTTAGTTTGGACAGTTAGCCACTGGCAAAGGTTGGCTGAGAAACAGAAGACAGGAGGAAGAGAGAAAGATGAAGGAGAACAGAGGGAGGATGCCGGAGGGCCAGGCGCCGAGTCAATACAGTAAGCTGACAGAGGTGGATAAAGCACTCTCCCTGTGTGGCTCGCTTTCAAGACACTGCTGAAATATAGAGCCACTCTGGCCGCACAGGTGCAATAGACTGGTGATGAAAACAGCTTTCAGTTTGTCACTGCTGAGCCTGCGAATCACAGGAATATTGAGCTTTCTCAGAAACCAAGAGTAGAGCTGGTAAATGCAATCAGAAAGGTCACTACTCTCTTCTCTTCAGCTCTGGACTTGGCAAACTATGACCAGATAATGGCTATTTATTCAGTCGTTTAAGCATTTGATAATTACAGAAGCTACCGACCATAGCTGTGACCTCCTCTCCATTCACCTAATCACACACTTTGTTTTTCTTTCTTTGTGAAGATCATCAAGGCCTCACTGATCTCAATTATGATTTAAGGGCTAGGCAATGACAAGAGCCAAACGTTGACATGCAACACATGGGTGCAGCCAGTGTTGGAGAGTAACTAGTTACATGTAAGGGAATTATGTAATGCAATTACAAAATAAATGTAACTGTAATCTGTTACAGTTACTGAGAAAAATGTGTAAACAATGTTTCAGGAATTTAGGACACAGAATAGGACACATGCTTATTCAAGAACTGTTTTGTTTCCTATTTGGGTTTATGTGTATGCTATATATTTTAAGATACACTTTTTTCCAAGGCATTGTTAGATGCCAGTGATTCCTGTCATAAATATGCAAAGATTTGATTTCAAAAACAGTATCATAGCTATTAAACTATATATTGTTATGATTTAAAATCAGTATTTAACCTCAGAACTATCTCAAAGTAAAAAAAAAAAAAGTGCTAAAGTTTTTCTGGTGGCTGTGCTTTAAAATTAAAGTATTATAATCTTAATTCAAGTGATGAAGGATTTTGTCTGACAGTAATCAGTGTTGAGTACTACTAAGGTTAACCCTGCCTGGTTTAAGTGTTTGAAAATGATTAAGAGTTGAAAACATTCATTAGAAATGTAGACAGTAATCAAATGTAATCAGTTACATTACTATAATAAAGTAATTGAAATAGTTACACTACTTATTACATTTTAACAGGGTAACTTGTATCTGTAACCTATTACTTTTCCAAAGTAACATTCCCAACACTGGGTGCAGCAAATGACAGGTTTAGAGAGATTTTAGAATGCCCTGACCTCAATCCTCAATATTTTTTTTCCATTATATACACTAATTTGAACAGCTTTATCCTTGTCAAAGTTTCAGGGTAACACTTATGGATAGTTTTCATTTTTTTTTATCAGTTCATGCATTCAAATGCTCTACTGTTTGAGTTTAAACAGTTTAATTAATTTTAATTATTTTTTATGTATTTTTTAAGGAGGCAAAAATACTAAGTGCACCTTTGAAAATATGAAATCAAGCTCAGACATTCAGGGTATTTTTGTTGCTTTTCTACTCTTTCATATTTTTAAAAGGTGCACTCAGTATTTTTTGATTCCGTAAAAAATGACATTAAAAATCATTACAATTTACATTTACATTTACATTTAGTCATTTTGCAGATGCTTTTATCCAAAGCGACTTACAATTGGGGGATACATAAAGCGATTCTTCTTAAAGAGGCAAACAGATACAAGAAGTGCTTGTAATACCAAGTTTCTAGACATTGTTCAAATAAGTACAAGCTAGAAAGAGAAGGAATAAATAAAGAGAGAGAATTTTATTTTTTTTATGATGATGATGATGAAGTCAAGTAGCTTCGAAAGAGATGAGTTTTCAGCTGTCGCTTGAAAATTGTCAGGGATTCAGCATTCCGGATAGGGGTGGGAAGATCGTTCCACCAGCCAGGAATGGTGAACGAGAATGTTCTGGAAAGTGATTTTGAGCCTCTCTGTGATGGTACCACGAGGCGTCGCTCACTAGCGGATCTCAGACTTCTGGAGGGGATGTAGATTCGTAGTAGTGAGTGGAAGTAGGCGGGTGCTGAGCCTGTGGCTGTGTCTGCGAGCGTTGTCGAGAGACAACCGGAATGTGTTGGAAACACATGATAGAGGTGGAAAAGAGAGGACAGAAAAGGAGAGTGTGTACAGGGAAGATAAAAATTATACTTAAGTGGCTAGGCGATTTCGTTGCTCGGTGAAGTCGCGCAGGTAAAGTCGCAGGTCTTTACACTCGTTGGTCTTAAAACGAGAAGGTCTGAACGCTTCCGCGTGTGCAGCCGTCTGTCTCTTCTGTTGACTAATCGCTTGGCACAATTAATTAAAGTGTTTAAAATAATGTCCACTAACTTTAGATAATTCCATTCACATCAGTAGACCAATAAAAGCTGCTTTATTGCCTCCTGGGGTCCACCATGTTGAAATCACATGACCATTATCCAAACCACTAGATATCAGTATAAGCCCAAGACAACCATTGCAACATTAAACAGACAAAAAGTTTAAAATAATAGTATTTTTTCACACACACATTTTCAGATGTGCGCAGCACATTTCATGGAGGACTGTTTCCTGATTCTGGAAGAGTAGACTACAATGCCGGCTGTTCTGACTCAGACTGTAAGTACGTTTTTTATATTTAAAGGATTTGCCACTGACGATTGAAATGCAAGTTTTGAGCAGTGTAGAGTAACGCTTGTTGTACGCGTTTCAGAAAGGCGGGGCATAGAGGAGAAACAATAATGTACAGTATGTGGAAAATAATGTTTTTTGAACCTTAAACCACATAAACACATTTCATTATATCAAATACACAAAATAATGTTCTTTTTAGCAACATCATATGACCCCTTTAATCATGTGATGGGGTTGAAAAG